CATGGAGAGAAAGCAGATGCTGAATGAATGAAATGTTGTCTGTCCTTCTGAGGGACTCTGATAGACAATGTGTTACAACTGCAGGCTTTTCTGCTTAGTGATAGGGAATCAGCCAGGAAATTTTAAAGCCTTTTTTTCTTCTCCTAGGATACAAATTAGCCAGGTCAGAATTACGGTGTTCTTGAATGTGAAAGAAATTGATAAAAGGTGCACCATCATTAATGGAAATGCACCCATTCCTCGGTGTGGAGGAAATACTGCCTTTCTGATAAATTCATTGTTGGAGATGGCACAGAACATCCTCGCTACCACATCATTGTTTGCTTCCATTCGGCTCAGCAGGCATTGCACAAGCCTGAGGACTGAGCATCATTCACACGTTAAAAAAAATCCCCTTTGCCATGTGAACAAAAGGAATGATTGATGGGGCAGGCAAAGATGAAACATGGGGCAACAGCATGCACTGTGCAGCAAGTAAACATACAGACTGCAGTCAGTGTTATGTTTTTCTTCCTAATGCCTCTTCTTCTTGCTTACTGGTAACTTATTTCCTTAAAAGTGAGGCCATAGGCCACCCCATAAATGGAAGGATTCCAAAAAACACTGTTAATTGAAAGTGTTTCTTTATGTATGACAGTGAAAGACATCATGTTTACAGCCTTAAATAGCTTGTGACATGAACTAGGCACTAACAATGAGGCATGAAGATAACTGAGACTGGAATCCAGGTGCAAAATAGGCCTTCATAGGTCTTTGCATCCTCCTGGTGACTCAGACATGATTGTGGCCTCTGCCTTGCTGTGCAGGAGGCAACACTCTGCTCCCCTAGCAGTTTTGTTACCCAGTCTCATACCATTTTGCTTTCCTGGAGCTTCTACACATATGGAATCTGGAGGCAACCAGCAGACAGACTCCACTAATTCCCTTGCAGACCCTCTCAATTTCTACACATAGTTCTGGGAGTGATTAAGTGAAAGTGTACATAAAACTGTTTTAATCCCCAGAATCTGTATTGTGATTTGTAGTGGATAGTAATGGAATAAACCTGATCACAGGGTGCAGGGTTTTTAGTGGAACTGAGCTGGAAGCAAGAGATGTTTCTCGTATCAGGAGAAAGCATCACTGGAGGCAGGCATTTCTCATATAGGGGAGGAAGACCAGGAATTGTAAAAAACAACTTCAGGGTGTAGCAGTATTGTTTTTTCTTTCCTTTTTTACTGCAAAAGATGCAGTTAGGAGGAAAAAAAAAAAAAAAAAAAGAAAATTAAACATTTTCTTTAAGAACCATGTGTAGATTTATGTGTGCACCCTTGGTTACAACTAGATACAAAGCTCATTCAACTTTGGATTAGATGAGAGTTAGTTAAAACAAATCCCTTTTGTCTTCCAGATGTAAGAAAACATATATTGTGTAATGTGTGGCTCTTTAAGGTCCCTAGCCCAAGTAAGTTTTCCTACGTGCTGGTGTCATTAGATGTGGATTTATCACCTTGTAATGGTTGCATTGGATTAACACCTTTTTGGTACATTCCTACACCTGCTTACATATAAGCCTGTGTTTTTCAGATACTTACACACATGTGAGAGGATACAGATGTTTCATTGTTTTGTGTGTCTGCATATGTTATGCAGAAATGAATAAACCACTTGAGTAAAATTCACAGTCATCACAGATCAGAAAAGATGTCTGGTCTCCAGCACAATGTAATAATATATTTCTGTGTTGCATATTTTGCAGAAACAGCATTTAAAATGTCATAAAATTAAAAGAAATAACAGGAAAGGAAAGGCTTCTATTCCTCTGCGTGTAAACCCAGGCTTTCTGATTACAGTTGTGTCAGTTGCAGAGGCTTGAGGAAAAAGCTTGCTTATAATTAAAAATATTGTTTCTAAAACCAATCAAATATAGCTGCTTGTTTTAATTGATTCTAGCAATACCACAGTGAGATTCAATACAGTGTGATACAGTGTGCTATAAATGGAGGATTGCAGTACTATTCCATTAAATATTGATCTTTCAGAGAATCTCAATACAAAATGAAAATCCCTATGGGGTGTTTCAAGTACCTTGAAGCAATCCAATTCTTCTTCCTCTTTGGAACGCAGCAGCTGCATCAAACATTAGAAACTTCTGTGCTTCCTTTGACTCAGCGTCATGAAGCACTGGCCTCTAGTTTGAAAGAAAATTCCTCTCTTGACGGTAAAACCTATTATGTACAGACTGCTGTAGAGATAATAATTTGTCATTTCTTCCCTCCTCCCACACCACGACCTTGGCAAACACTGAACACTGTCTCATTTTTAGTGTTTCTTAGTGCTTCAGTGTTTCTGAGTCAAAGTCAAGAAGAATCATAGCTTCAAAGCCAGTGTGAGTAAAATGCAATGTTTTCCATCTGCCCTGGAAAATAGCTTTCACCTTCCAATAGGCCTCTCGTATGCTGTGGAGAAGAGTTTCCCAACCATGCAATGTTTTCTGCCTGCACTTTGAAACTCCTTTACAAGACTGACATTAGCTTCCCATTATATTTTTCCATAGTCACGGTAAGAACTTTTTCACATTGAGTTACCCATCGCTCTGCCATCTCCCCGATTAATCAGCTATGCAGAAGAGTATGTAATTTTACTAGAGAGAGTATGGCTATGTAACTATTGCCTCGATATGATAGTTACAAATTCCTTCTACCTAGAAATTAGCATATAAGGTTCTTTTTCCATTCTCCCATTTACTCCTGAGGAAGAGCTATAGGATATTTCCTTTCAAACAAAATCCGTGTTAAAATTAGATGGAACAGCAGAAAGTCTAGTACTTATCCCAGAAATGGTAGTATACTGGAGCTGTTTATCACTCTTTTATCGTGGAGTCCTCTATTAGGACAATACTGGGAGGATTCAGAGCAGTGGGTCTTGGAGTTTACATCCCACTGTGAGTTATTGCTTCCTGTTGTCTCCAGGCTTAGATAAATGTGATTGCTTCAGGTAGATTGAGTCATCTTTCTTTTTTTTCATGATCTCGAAACCTGTAATACATTGTTTGTATTACCAATGGAGGCAAGGTGATTGTCATAATCACATCACCTTGTATCCTGGAAGTCCCACATATGCTGCTGCAGGGGCTCTTGCCATAGAGCCTGTCAGTTTTGACGTATCACGCTTGTTGTATTAACTAACATGTGCTACAGCCAGGGAACTCACTAGCAGCTTAGAGATTGCAATGTTTCAAAATAATTTTCATTTCAGCCAGTCCAGCTTTTCCAAACAGAAAGAGTTTAGTTCAAAAAGTATTACTCTTCCAATCTCACAGGTGATTCTCCTCCACTGCCGACCTTTCCCGCTGATCTCATCCAGGTACACTGTAATTAGTGTTCCTAGTAAGGAGTCCATCATTCACTATCATTCAGATATTTAACTCAAACCCAGCTCCTAAACTTGCAGAAATCAATGTTGTTGCATTGATTTCAGTTCAGCTATGCCGGCCGACTTTCTAGCTTATTTCAAAAGCAGAAAAATAATTGCTTAATACTGTACAGTTTTGAATCTGACCTTTTGAATTTAGATCTTGCTTCTGAAAAATAACATTTCCTACTTCAGAAATCAATCTCCCTTCTTACCACACCCACGCAACTGTTTCATGGCCCACACTGTGTTCATGGCTGAGTGAGAATGTTAATGCTTTCACGCTCCTTCTTTCACCAGCCACCACCAACTGTGGATACAGGTACTTTCCAGCCTTGCTATCTCTTCTCAGAGAGCTCCAGCTGCAACCTATTGTTTATAACTATTGTAGGTTTCTTCAGACCACCTCATATTGTGAAAAAAGAAAGAACATAACAAATCTTATTCCCACATTTAGTAGTATGTTTGTGCAAGCAGAAGCTCCATGTAGAAGGAACTTCCAGACAGACATGGCTCTTGTAGATATGGATACTGTTTACTGTAACATGCAATGAGACTTCTGGATTAATGCTCAGTATTGATTCCTTGTTTTCGTGCCCTCAACTTTATTTTCACATTTTCCACAATTTTTCTCTCTTTGTCTCATCACTATTGCTGTTTTTTCAGTTCTTACTTAGCTAAGGATCTCCTGGAATAAGATCTACATAGTTATGGTTCATGCAGTTTAATAATTGTATTAATTCCTTTTTCCACAGTGCAGATACTTCTGCTTTCTGGTACAGAAAAAAAAAAAAAAAAATAAATTGCATCATTTAGTATTTTAATTATGTATAAAATCTAAGATAACTGCTACATTCTTTAAAAATAACAGGTTTTCTGCACTCAACAAAGCTGTAAGCAGTTCTGTATTTCTTTATTTTTATGTTTCTTTCTAAGCAAACTAAAATCAACTTGCAATCAATTTGGTTCAGCCAAGCTTTATAGCAAGAATGAATAAAAAGGAAATTGGTCTCGGGAGGGAGGGAAGAGGAGAAACATGCATTTGCTAATGGCATGGTGAAAACTTTGCTTCCATATTCATACTAAATAAACATGAAAAATGTTTGGCATATGATTGTAGGAAGAACTCATCCACAGCACATGCTCTTTACCATAGTAATCCAACAGAAACGTCTTGCCAATTGCAAACAATTCACAGCATGCACAACCAGGTTTGACATTGCCAAGATATTCTTAAGTTGAATGGATGTGTGAATTTGCTTATTTAATAGCATGTTTGCCTCCTTGTGCCTCTCTAAGAGCCAGTGTGAGCTCAGAAGATTTTTTATATATCAAGTTGGTATTTTGTTTCTACTTTCAGGTTTTATAGCAATTGTTGCTTGTATTAGTCCAAGAAGCCTTCTTCCTACTTCCATTGCTTGCTTGCTGATTTGTAACATCTTATTGAGCAACCTAAATAGTATAAATATATATGTAAATTGCAGATTTGGATTTCTGCTGTTATGCTTGCTTTTAATGAGTTTAAAATACTTTTGAAGACAGTGTCTATTTTAAACCGGTACTTAAGAGTTTATTGTATTTATAAATATTACATTCCTTCTTTCTAGGCTCTTAAGGATGATGATGCTGAGACTGGGCTGACTGATGGGGAAGACAAAGAAGAAGCCAAAGAAGTGGAGAAACTAGGGAAAATCCAGTATTCTTTGGATTATGACTTCCAGAACAATCAGGTTTGAAACAACCAACCTGTAACATTTCATGTCTGTGTATGCAAAGGGAGAATGAAGTAATGCATTTAGTTACAGTGGATATTTCTGAAATCCTTATTACTTGCACAGAATAAAGGGAGAAATAAAGACTGAAGATTCATGAGAGATACACTACTAAATTGGCATTCAGTCTACTCAGAGTTTGTATTACACCTTTAGTCAAAGTGGAAGAAACTGTTTTATCTAATGGTTATTAATAAGTTATATTAAAACGTCACCAATCAATGTCAAACCACATTATATTGTGGAGTCTGCATGCAGGCAGTAAAAATAGCTTCAGCCTTCAGATATTTAAAATGTAAGCAAAGGAGTAGCTTTCTCTCCCTTCACAGAGTGTGCACTTTACCTTATTAACTACCTGCATCAGGTTCTGTTGCTCTCTGTGGAAGTACACCTACTAACCAAGAAAATTTTAATTTGCAATAGATGTTCACATAAAAAGGTCTGTCCCAAAAAAACCAAAAAAAAAATAAAAAAAAAAAAAAAAAAAAAAAAAACACACAAAAAAAAACAGGACAGCACAACAAGAAGAACCTCTCCAGTCAAGGGCTGATACTCCTTTAGTACCCTACTTGGAAGCTGGTAAGACCATACTTTAGCATACACACAATAATGTGATGTAGACCTAGAATCGGGTTACTTAGCAGATCTGACCACATCCTGAACCAGCTCCAGTTTCATTCCCCTCCCTGTACCCTTGCTGCAGTTGCAATCACTTCTGCCAGCTATACCAATTCACAGCCTCTCAGAAAAACTCACTGTGCTTAACTTTGGACCAAAGTATACCAGCACATCTCACTTCTTCACTTCTTCTGCATGTCTTTCAGTGAACTTGAGAATACATGTCCTGTATTTTATGTTTTGACAACTTCAGTCAAAATCACATCATTC